GGGGGGGGGACTTGGTTAGTTGGAGGTTCAGGGTAACTACATCCTATTTTGAACTATACTTGTAACCCAAATACAAAACCCCCTGTGTCTCCTACTATGGTCATACCCAATTGGGTCATCAGTACCAGTATATATATCACACGCAGCTAGAATGCACGCGCACAGCGATGCAGTGCAAGGCAGTGCGACGCGCAAATGTCCTGTCAGGGTCAGAAGAACGGCCTCGCAAAGGCCGCAGCAGTCGAGGTGTTTCGACCGGCACAGAAAGCAATGAGCTGATTTCGTGCGGTCCGCAATCGATTAGTATTAACACAAACCGTCAACCCTCCAACATACCTACCAACACCCAAAGAGACCAACGAAATCCGCTCATGCAGCAAGTGCCCTAAATCAAGGCGGCGAAGCGCCGCAGAAATCCCCTGGCGTACAACTGACATTTGGGTTGCCAACGTCAGCCTAGGCCGGGGCAACATAAAAGCCTGAGCCTCTACCCACTTTCCAGTGGATGGGCACGAGACAGGAAAATGAAAACCCTCCACCCCCAACAAAATAACCGTAAGCTCCAACCAAGAAACCCGGAAAGGCACCGAATGTTCATCTTCCTGCTCAAGCAAAAACTGCATTACAGCACGAGTGAAACCCCACGGAACCACTGTACATGGGTTTGCGATGCAGCTCCATCCAATTGGAAGAGCTTCGATCAAGCTCATGCCTGCCGGGAGTTCATCCACAGGAAGCTCATCCCGCTCCATCATGTCCTGACATTCCTCCTCATGAACTGCTCGAGCGCGTCTGTCCTCACTGGCTGTGCGAGCAGCCAGTGCACAGTACAAACCACGCAGCGCTTGCTGAACTCGAGCCATGTCCTCATGATACTCCATGGCCCTTGCATGCAGCTCCACAAAAGCCTGGGGTCGATTCGTGTTCGCAGAAACTGCCACAGTGTCAGCATGGTCGTTCCACTTCGCCAGCCACTCCTCCATGGGGCTGTCGCAAAGCACGGGGTCCAGGTGCGAAGGTGTGTGCAGAACCCGGAGACATGTTGAATCAAGTCGAGCAACCTCCTCTGCGATACGCTCCCAGAGATCGCTGTTCTCCAGTGAACCCGTTAACACATCTCCACGCAACAGTTGTTGCATGGTGTCCACCACATGTAGAGCATCTGACCAGATGACGGCGTTCCTCTGGACCACAGCCACCCAACGAACTGCTGAGAGCATCGCACAAAGCTCAGCCCGAGGGGCACTTTGCAGCAACCCGCAAACCGGACCACAGGCAAGAACCAACCCTGTACTTGAATGAACCAAACCCCAACCCGCCAAGGCCAAACCCGGAACCCTTGAGTGAAGGCAGGAACCATCCGTGAACAGATGCTGTGTGTCAGGTGCACACCCGTAGGAGTAGTACTGAAAGCACTGATCCTGACAGACCTGCAACTGCCGGCGGAGCTCTGGGCCGTGAGGATTTGCAGGAACCAACAGATGATGCGTCAAGCAATCAGGGAGTTCGTCCCAACGATCGCAGACCCACTGAAATGGCCTTCGTTCATGGGCATATTGTGGACACACACAGAGACGATGCCGAGCGTTATCGGCGACCCCACACTGGACACAGAGGCCGTCTTGCTGCGGATCAAATTTACTTTGCGCGTGCCCAAAAACAAAGGAACCTGACTGCAGCGCCACTTGGCGCGCGAGGTCGAGTGGGCACAGATTCGCCCTGCCCTGGCGCAGTAAATCCTGATCTATGCACATTAGATCACGCATAGTCTGGCGATGTCGATGAGCCAGCGCAACGTGCTGAAGCCAGGCCGCCTCGACAAGTCTGCGAAGCAATGGCACCGGGATGCGGAGCAAGTCATGTCGCAGATTCTCATGATCCGTGAACATTGGCGGGGCCTCCAAAGTCCAGCCCAGCACCCCGATCACCTCAAAGAATTTTGTGAAGGGGCCATGTAGCCTGGAGCCGTCATACCGTTGGCAGTACAGCCGCCACATCGTGAGCATCTCGGGCTGTTTCAGACAGACACGGCGCGTGGTGCCGAGGACATGCCATGCCTGATAGAACCCCGGATCACAGTCCATGCGCTCATTGATGCTAAGCCTGAGGAGCGCACTTGCACCCCCTACCTGAACACGCAGCGCCTTCACGGCATCTGATCGCAGGGCGGCAAGCAGCTGCAAAGACACAGGACAACCAGCCACTCCGTGCAAAGCTCGCGGCCAGAGTTTAGTGGGCAGACTAAGCAACTTCAAAGCAAGAGGACTTGACGAGCGCTTGAGTGCCGCAAACAACGGTTCCAAGTCCCTGCATCGCTGCTGCAGCGCCTGATTGCGCGCTGAGCGCCCGAATGAAAAGTAACCACCGAGTTCACGGACGGCATCTAGCACAGGGAATTGCAATGCAGTGAGGGCACGGCGGTCCGGGGCATTATTCGACCACACATATGTTTTTGCTGGGTCAATCTCCAATCCCATGGCATCACAGAAGCAAATGGCTGCATTGAGTCCGGCAACAGCCTGTCCTGCCTGAACTGCATGGCCCACAAAGTTGTCCACATAGCTGAGGCTCTGCACCGAGGGCGTGAACTGTTCCATATACTGATGAAACATGCAGCCTGTGACAACCATGGCGACTGTAGAGAGAGGACATCCTTCTGGATACCCGCTGGTGCTGAGCAGAGGGCGCCCGACACTGGATCTGATCACAGCGTCTCCGAACGCCAGACAAAAAGGACTCCCAAGGCCGCAGCACAGTTTCCGGCAGACCCAAGATGCGTTCGATGCTAGTCCAACAGGCGCCCTGGGCAGGTTATTGAAACACTTCACGATGTCCATGCTGAATCCCGAGCGTGTGGAGCCGCCCTGGCAAGAGAGTTCGATGCTCGCCTCAAGGAGCATCCATAACTCTGCGACCTCGCGCTGTGGCAAAAATCCAAAGGCGCCAGAGCTAGTCAGGCCTCGTAGGAAGTGGAGACACGGTCGAGCGCGTATGCCGGACCACGTCCGATATAGGACACTGAACACGCAGATGGGCCTGTATGACTGAACGCCATGAGCTTTTCATGAGCTAACACAAGACCGGTGAGGAGCTGCTCAGGCCAGCCAGAGTGGCCGCGCTCAATTGAATTCAGAAAGTCCAGGAGCTCTTGTGTGCGCTCCCGGGGCATTCGCAACAGGTCTTTGCGAGAGAACCCATCTGGTCCCCTGGCTGCGCGAGGCTTGTACCTCTTGAGGGCTGTGCGCCATTGCTCATACGAGATTGGGGCCATTTCCAGGCGCCCCCGTGGAAGAAACGCCCTGGCAAACTGGCAAATGCGAGTCCAGTCACATTCCGCCGGATTGGCGTGCTTGCCCCAACGAGCAGCCCATAAAGTTTCAAACTCGTGCTGTACATCAGTGCATGACGCGAGAACTTGGCATTGTTCCAACTCAGACTCGGGAGCCAAATCACAAGGCAAATCAACTGTGCAAACAGCCCCATCCGGATTACAAATCGAGGCTGACACCCCATCAATAGTCCACGTGGAGCATCCGCGCAAGTCCAGAGGCGCGTCCAAATGAATTTGCTGGGAATCCGAGTCAACTGCTAGAATGGTGTAGGATCGCCGAATGGTGAGAGAGTCAACTTGGTCGGGCTTGGGCGCCGCAGGGATTGCATGAGGCCTTGGAAGGTATCTGCGTATCGAGAGTGCAGGACCTCACTGCGTCGCTTGATGCTCCAAGCCTCAAAACTGCGGTAGTTCTCCCTGAAGTCCAGAAAAATCAGCTCAACCGTGGGGGAGTGCGGCAGTGCAGCAAAGATGCTGCCAGGTGAGCCTTGCAGCTGAATGGGCCGGGTCTCCCACCATGTGGGGAAATTCCTATAAAAGCCAGGAGCACGCAAAATTGAAGTCCAAAGCTGCAAACGGTATGCACAGGCTGCTGGGGTTTGTTTGTTTGCTCGGATGGCATGGCAGAGGCTCTGAAGTCGTCTTAACTGCCGATACCATCGATTCACTTCCTGGCTGAGAAGATGATTACTACAAGTCTCTTCGCCCTGTCTCGTGGGCCGTACTGAGATTACCGGCAGTTGCTGCCGCGAAGGGGCACAGCGACGCCCACGTCCAAAGACACACCCAGGCAACCGACCTCCTGGAGAGTCAACGTGCCCATCTATGCTTTGCTCAAAGGCTCGAGCCCAGTTTCGGAACCACATTGACGAGTCAGCTTGCTGAGGGGCGCTTTCGTGCGGGGCGGCCCATAACCCATCAACATCGATTTGCTGCCATGGCAGTTCCCCAGGGAGTGGCCAGGTCAGGCAAGGAGCAACGCTGTCCAGAAAACACAGATGCGCAATGACTGTAGAATGCTCAGCAAAAACGTCTTGCACCGAAACCGCGTTACACATGGCAGCTGCCTCGGGACTCTTAGGGTGTAGGGTTTAGGGTTTAGGGTTTAAGGGTTTAGGTTTTAGGGTTTAGGGTTTAGGTTTTCAGGTTTAGGGTTTAGGCGCGGGAGGGGGGGGGACTTGGTTAGTTGGAGGTTCAGGGTAACTACATCCTATTTTGAACTATACTTGTGACCCAAATACAAAACCCCCTGTGTCTCCTACTATGGTCATACCCAATTGGGTCATCAGTACCAGTATAAAAGTTCGAATTGCCAGTAGTCCTAAACCCTACCTAAACACCAAAAGTAGGTAAAATAATAGCCCAAAACCCTTAAATATAGCCCAAAAGGCCATTATTCTACATACTTTTGGGGTACAGGTAAACCCTAAATTCAGTGGACAGGGTTGAGGATTCTGGATCGAGGTAGGAAGCAACCCAAGTCGTGACAGGTAGCATCCACTTGCCTCGGTTCTTCATTGTTTCAGGCTACACCTACACCCCCGAAGTATGTAGAATAATGGCCTTTTGGGCTATACTTCAAGGTTTTGGGGCATTATTTTACCTACTTTAGGGGTCCAGCCCAGGCACTAGTGTTTCAGAATAGACCGCCTAGATCCCCTAACGCCTAAACCTTCAAGCCCAAAACGCACCCTAAACCCCAAACCCCAAATGAAGCTCGGCATGAGAAATTGTTTGGGAGTATTCCCCCGACTCCGCTCCACGAAAGTAGCCCTCTCATAACACACGGATAAGATATCGTGTTCCATGTTTCCATTCCTTCATCTTGCTGGTACTTTGTAGATAGGAATTGAACAGAATGATTGTTGAACCCCTATGTAATTAGTTCCTGGTTCCCTACTAGACCCCAGTAAGTCATTCCCTATTGACGGCCACTAAATCCCGACCCTAAACCTTAAGCCCTAAACCTTGAACCCTAAAACCCCAAAATCCTAAAGCCCTAAACCTTAAACCCTAAACCCTAAACGTTTGGCATCCTCTTCTTCGGATGATCCGGGCTTTCCCATTTCAGCGGCCGTGTTGAAGCATCCTTAAGGGGTTGAAGGTGAAGGTTTGGGCTTGAGGGTTTAGGGTCAGGGTTCAGGGTTTGGGGTTTAGGTTTACAGGGTTCATCTAGCATGTAGGGTTGTGGTCCCGAGAGTCTGCTGAATCCGGAGCGTACAGACCATGAGCAGTCTTGGGCATGCGACACCCCAAACTTCAAGGTTTAGGGTTTAGGGAACTCGGAAGTCAAGGTTTAGGGTTTAGGGTTTAGGGAACTCGGAAGTCAAGGTTTAGGGAACTCGGAAGTCAAGGTTTAGGGTTTAGGGTTTAGGGAACTCGGAAGTCAAGGTTTGCAACTACTTATATGATTCCTCCCGAAACCCTGTCGGGTTCAGGTTAAGGGTTTAGGCAGATAGACCTTCAACTCGAAATCCTTGAGCTCTAAACTCGCGAGCTCCATGCCCCAATTTTCCTGGTCTAGAAGCCGCCGTTTAGTATTCTTCCACATATAGCCCCTATATGACTTCTATATAGTCGTGATATCAAGACTGTACGCGCCGAATCCCAAACCCTGAATCCCAGACCCCGCCCCCTATCCCAAACCCTTCATAAGAAGCCCATCTGTAGGAAACATTGACTGTAGGTCATGTCCTGAACCCTAAAGCTTAACCCATAAATCCTAAAGCTTAAATCCTAAACCCTAAGCCCTAAACCCCGAATCAAACCCCTAAATCCTAAATTCTAAACCCTAAACCCTAAACCCTACACCACCGGCTGCCGGCCCCGGGCAGGTCCAGATCTTGCGATGCCGGATCGTTGCCTTGAAAGGAAAAAGCTCTTTAGGGTTTGGGGGGATTATATTGGGGTTATACTAGGGCTATATTGCGTTTATATTGGGCGGTTGAGGCTTGAGATATAGGGTTTAGGGTTTAGGGTGTTAGGATTTCGGGGTTTTAGGGTTTACGGTTTAGGACTTCGGGTTTAGGGAGGATTTAGAGTTTTGGAGTTAGGGTTAATTAGGGCTTTGGGTTCAGGATTTGGGGTTTAGGATTTAGAGTCTAGGATTTGGGGCTTTGGGTCCATCACCTCATGTTCAGAAAGCCAAGCCCCTTAGTGATAAACGCAGATTTTCCCGCCTCCGTGCCAGATTAGCAATAGACATGATCTGGGGGTCATGATGATCAGGGGAGGCGATGAGGATTAGGACTGCGACATCTACTTCTACCAGCACCACCACATGAGCCGCTAAATGTCCCACGCCAATTGCCACTGACATCGTTAGAGAGCACCCTGTATATTCTTCCACCAGATTTCCAAGTTTTGTGGTATCTGCAGGATCTGTCCCTCAAATTGCCACCGCCCTAAATCCTGAACCTTTCATTCTTTCCGAACTGCCAGGAGTAAGACTCCCGTTTCGAAGACGGATCGTAGTATGTTGGGGTATGTGAGTAGCTCTCCTGTTTTGCGAAATCCCCATCCGTTCCGTGTACTAGACATACTTCCGCACGCCCATCATGATTCCAAACTCAAGCCCTAAACCCTACCTGGACCCCAAAAGTAGGTAACATAATAGCCCAAAACCCCTAAATATGGCCCAAAAGGGCATTATTCTACATACTGTTGGTGGGGTGTAGGTAACCCTAAGCCCTAAACCCTAAAACCCTAAAGCCCTAAACCCTAAAACCCTAAAACCCTAAACCCTAGACCCTAAACCCTAAAACCCTAAAGCCCTAAACCCTAAACCCTAAAACCGCTACACCCAGGGTTTCGGTTTCAACTTTGAGCCCGGGACTCCTGAAATCCTAAGCCTGACGAAGACGGTAAATGCTTAAACCTCAAACCCCAAGCCCTACCTGGGGCGGTTTAGGGTTTAGGGTTAGGGTTTAGAGTTTAGGGCCCCAAAGGTATGTAAAATAATGGCCTTTATGGCTATTATTCTGGGATTAGGGCTATTATTTTGCATACTTTTGGGGTTTAGGTACACCCTACACTCTATAGGCCCCTTCGAATAAAGATGAATATGAATTGCCCCATTTAATAGTAAGATGCCCAATTACCCCATCTTCTATCTACTTAATTAAGGAGAGACTTAATCAAGCCCCAACTCCCAAGCCCTAAAACCTAAACCCCAAATCCCCAACCCTAAACCCCAAACCCCAAACCCCAAACCCTAAACTCTACACCCCAAGCCCCAAGCCCTAAACCCTAAACCCCCAAACCGCAAGCCCGAAAGCCGCCATCGCAGGCAGCTTGCAATCTTAAATCGCGGCCTCGAACTCCTACGGGTGGGTGGGCGTCTGGCCGGGACCCCAAAACCAGGGGTCGGTTTAGGGTTGAGGGTTGAGGGTTTAGGATTTTGGGCTGAGCGTTTAGGGTTGAGGGAATTGCAGGCATAAATTCATTCGAAACTCCTGAATCAACGCTTGCATGGGCGGTATGTGGGGGCTGCGTATTATACCACTCCGGCAGCACGCTGTCAATGAGTGAAAAACCTGGCACCTGCTGGCGTAAAATTTTCACTTGCTGAGGACATGTGGATGGTATGATGATACTGATAATTCTTCGTGACACTAGTTTAATACTCAGACAAAGAGGAGCATGGGAGTATCTCCAAGTTGTCACAACCCTCTGAAATTCCTTTTTGTCATGCCCCTGTAGGCCGGACGCATCCCCAGTGTCCCTGAGGCCCCTAAACACTCAAGCCCTAAACCCCAAACAGCCCTTCCAACCCCATATAATCCCATATAGCCTTATATAGGCTTTCCCCAAACCAAGTTTAATAATTTTGAGAAAGCCTGGAAACAATCAGCCATTTTGCCCTTTGGTACATGAGGTCTACAGCACCTGCAGTCTCAACCCTATCGAGGACGAGGACTGGGGACAGGGGGCTTGCCGAATAAAAGCAGGCTATATGTCATTTAGAGGTTTAACGTTTAGGGTGTATAGGCGAGTCTAGGACTTGCGGCTTGGAGATTAGGATTTGATGCGGTTCCTTGCAGTTCGGGGCTGTTTTTGGGGGGATGTCGATGGTGAGGACGTCGCTGTGGTTGGAATTCGTTTTGGGGCCCTATGTTTTTGGAATTTCCCTCGAGAAATTTCATGTTGCCAGGGATCAGCAGCCTGGGCTTGGCAGTCCTTATGCAGGGGATCTTGGTAGTTGCCGCCTTCAAAGTAAGACAGGGTTGCTGTTCAGGAATTTCAATTAAGTTACCATAATGTGGGTATATAGGAAATATACGGGCTTCTTCCTTATAGTAACCCTAAACCTTAAACTCTGAACCCTAAACCCTGAACCCTCTATGCCCTTCATTACTATTCTTATACCCAGATCATTGGAAACTGCGGAATCCCCTCACCCGAATGACCGGTAATTTGTACTAAGGATGCTAAGGGTGAGTTGGACTCAGGTCTACGTCTTTCATCCACCCCGATGCCTCCGAAACTCATATATTCATGCATTCCGGGGCGCAATGTGTGCGACTTTAGGAGCAGTCCTTCAGATTAATTGAGTCACTGCTAATATGCAGAAAAGCTCTCCTAAGTATCCATAGCTGATCCTTGCGCAAAGAATAGCCCTGATAAAGCCTAAACCCTAGACCCGAGCTGAGAATCTGGAGGCGAGAAGGGGCTCTGGCCAGATTGTGTATCTGGGGAATATAAAGAAGTACAAACAGATTCTCAGTTAGGGTTTAAGGGGAGGGGCTCCAGGATCACAGTGGATGTGGGAGGAAGGGGGAAAAGGGAGCCCTAAACCCTAAA